TGATTGCATTTATGTAATTATTTGTTTACTCGTGTATTTGAATTCATCATCTTAGAATATTTAATAGAAACATCAGATGAAGACTTGGAGTGATTGATAACATTTTTATAAATAAATAAACACTCTAAGAAACGATTGTGTTTTTCAAGTATATTTCGCTCAATAATAAAGGAAAATTTTGAAATATATAAAAAACAATATCATGTCCTAACGTTATTTACTGCTATTTATTAATTAAATTGTCATGTTGAAATATAAAATATAAATTTGTTTAATAAAATTAAAACAGAAAAGATTTTATCCGTTCAACTTATTCATTCCATCGATGTTCTTACTTTTTAAATGATTTTTTAGTAAATATTGTCACGTGTCTGTGTATATCGCCATTGGAAATTGTGGGAATTGTTATAGTTTTAAGCATTTTATTAAATAGTTTTATTAACTTACCATGATAATTAATAATTCAATTCAAATTTTATTGCATTTTTCGACAAAATAAATCACTTGAAATATGACAATAATAATAACTCAGTTCTAGTTTAGCTAGCCGTATTTTACTAAGAGCGTTTCAATTAATAACAGCCAGATATGTTTCAAATCCGGAGATCCAGAGTGAATTCCATATGACTAATTATCCCCATGTGCTCTCAGACTTTGGCATTCCATGAATGCACAATAGGCGAAATACTAATTACAGACTACCGGTATTTATGACCAGTTGTTTCCCCCACTTATTTATTGCATATTATAGACATTATCAACGAAGCATACTTTAAAGAAACTCTAAATGTAGTTCACATTTCTTTGTTACGGCTTCAATGTCTTAACGTCATCTTCATTAAGCTAGAACTTTTTTCTCATTATTTACCTACAATAAGTTATATAAGCCATTTAAACTGCCTAGTTATTCCACATGACCTATCATAATTATTATTTTTTATTTATATTAATCTTGTTACATGAAACTTACTATTTATGGAAAATAGGACAAGGCAACCTTAATCTTTTTTAATATTATTTCGTAATATGTATACCGTCATATAAATAAGATATACAGAAGACAATTAAGCAGTTGTAGGAGTGATTGGACAGTTTGATGGAAATGTTAAGTGACTGTATGGATATTTAGGTGTTTTCTGTAATATAAAGAAAGTGAGAATTACCTAAACTCCTAAACGGACCAAAATTGTTCAACTAAAAATCCCATCAAATATGACTCGAGCCAAAATTTTTTCAAGAAAATCAATATTGAGAAAAATGTACTTAAATTTTAAGAAAGGTAAAAACATTAAAGATCCGAGTCCTGTTATGTGCGGTTTTAGACTGTTTTTGCAGTATTTTATAATCATATCTCTACTGCGTTACTAACAGTAAGAGCTATTTTTGCATATGTTGACGAGTTTTTGGTAGTTTTCTTGGATTGTAAGTGCCGATTGCAATATGTTAATTACTTTATTTGTTCCTCTCACAATATTTTACTTTCAAATACATTTCCAAAATTTTCACGAAAATTAACATGAATCTGGAGGCGTGCAGCTTTAGAGGACCATATCGCTGTCAAAAATCATTAAACCGGAAAATACCGTCAATATTAACATGAAGACTTAGTACTGATCATTCATGTAAAGTTTGGATGAACTTGCACCAGGAGTAGTTGTCACGGACTACAGAAGGACAAACAGATAGACAGTCAACGGAGAATTGTTCTTTACTCTGTGGGAGATGGTACAAAAAGTGGAAAAATAAACTTTCTATTAAAGTGCATAAACTTTTTTTTCGTGTAGAAAACATTAAAACGTCATTGATAACACTTCATTGAAACTTTCATTGATGCTCTGTCACATTTTAAGACAATGCAATGCAAAATATCAACTAAAACATATAGCATGTTACTTTTAGGGTACCTATATCATTTTACCTCTTACCTGCAGAAATCAAAACTAATTGTTTTTGGCATCGATATCTGAATAAAGCCTGACGAGCTTGCACATCCGTGTACTAACCGAAATTTATTAGCCCTTGATACATGAAATTTGACCAGTTTCTGTACTGTTGGTTACTCAATATTTGTATTTTGATTTTGAAATCCCTGAAAACTTGTAATTAATTGATCCAAGAAACCCATTACACACATTGGATATATAGCATTAGTGGTAAAAGAACTCAACAAAGACAAGTATGTTATGATATAATCATTTACTTGCGAAAACTCGGGTATTACCGCTTCGTAGGAAATGAAATAACGTTTGAATACGGCCGATTTATAAAATAAGCAAATCTTGAGTATTTGTAAATAATCTATTAAATGGATGAAATCGACTTTGTTTATTGGAATTTGAAAGTCGAAATTAGTTGAAAAATTCTTCTAAATCTACGGTTTGAAATTTGATTATATTTTAGCATGACACTAAAGGCACGTGGCGAAAAATGCTTAGCATTTAAATAAAACTAACCTGACATTGCTCTCTGATGAAAATAACATAATCTGTCTCTAAAACTGTCTCTATTTTTCGGACAAAGTCCGTCTGTTATCGGTTTGACTTCATGTAAAATGAACAGGGAAGGAATGAATACAAGAAGAATTTTCATTTGTCATTTTAAAATTACAAACTGAAATCGGTGAATCTCAATGGTCATTCAAAAATAAAAATGTTAAGGACAGTTCTTACCATTCATAAAAAAGTTTAAATGATAGCTCTTACCATTCTAAAATAAGATTTTAAGGATATCTCTATGATAAAATGTAATTTATAGTTTTGTCACTATAAAATGAAATGTAAATGATAGTTCTAAAATAAAATGTACAGGAATGAGGATAGTTCTTTTACTTTTAGTTAATTTGTAAATAATTACAAAATATATAAAGTCCAATGGAAAACAAGTAAAAAGGACACCTTAAAAAGAAGTTGAACATCTTTGAAAAATCATCAATATTAATACTCTATAATTTAAATTTAATGTTTACCAAAGGGGTATTTTCTTAACAGCTACAAGAAATAATTATTATGTCATTGTTATGCAAGCATTGCTAACATTTCTTTTTGTATTGAAAACTTAGAAATAACATACATTTGCATGTTAAACAGTTATACTTCGGCCGAGTATCTTTTTAAAAGATTCTTCTTGTTTTTAGTACGCAGAGTAAAACGTTTATTTCATGATTATTAAATCTTCGACCAGTTATAATTGATAATCACCATAAAAAGAAAGCCTGAAAAGAAATTCTATCGGATTAAGAAAAATAGTCAATTAGGCAATAACAACTGATATAATTATAGAGGAAACTACGCAAATGGCTTTTTAAGGATTCAGTTTCATTAAAAAAGTCATTCATTATTTGACATCAACCGTATTTAATCAAAGATTACATATTTCTGCTTTATGTCTGATGTGTGATGTTCGTAAGGATATCAATTTATAAACCTGTTTTCAATAAGTATAATAATTACTGCTATTTAAGCATTACTTTACTTTATAGAATTCATTTTACCAGATGAAAATGGCATACAATTCATAAAGAATTAATTAATTCATTAACGTAGATATTTAGGTAAAACTGTTATTTTTTATATATCTAATTGTATATTCAATACAGTATTTAATATAATAGGGACATTCGTAGTGATTTCAAAGCACTTACCCATTACTTTATTGGTGTGACTTACCCCTATTACTCCAATTCCAATCAAAACAACAACAACAACAACAACGAAACAATAAACAACAACAACAAAATGACAATAACAACAATCCCCAAAAAGAAACAACAACAAAAGACAAACAACAAAAACAACAAACACAAAAACAAAACTTTGCTATTTGCATTTTACAGTTCAACTATTAAATAAACTTTGCTGATACCAATTTTGATTGGAAAATATAACTTTTTATTAATTGTCTCTTGCACTTAAGAAAACATCGCCATCAATATTAACAAAAGAAAATATTAAAGCCTACATTTGTGGAAAGAAAACTTAAAATGCATTTACACCTTAAGCATTAACTTTTAATTATTTCTAGATAAAATTACCCAAAAAGCAGCATGCTTCCAGATTTATGCTAATTTTCATAAAAATGTTTTGAAAGTACATTATTGTAAGGTGAACAAAACAAGTTATTTACATGTACAGACCACTTAAATTACCAAAATGAGGTTAAAATAGGTTAAAAAAGCCATTACTGCGTTATTCCCGCAGTAGAAAAATGGCGATGTATACTTCAAAGTCAGTAATTAATCGCACATAACATTAACTTATAGTTACTTAATTTCAATACTTTTTCTTTGGTACAATTTGCTAAAGTTTTATTTTCTTGAGATATTTTGACTCATCTGGCATGCAATTTAAAAACAGACAGCCAAACTTAATACAAAATCTATAAGAAAGGTAATCCCTCGGAAGCATAAATCACAACAATATTACATGAAAATAGCAGACTCAGTTTGACTGAGTCTGTACATGAGAGATAATAAATAATTTGCAACATCTCTCGCGCCCCCTAGCACCGGCTTGAACGATGCTCAATTTTCAACACTTAAAGTGCTGGAATCAATGATCCCGAAGAACCAGAAAAAACTATAACAACACTGATTCAGAAGTTTTTGTTTTGGCTTTGGCTCTCGACTCGTGTGTGCTTGTACGTTTTGTCACAAATTGCAGCTCTCAATATATTGTCACCTGATAAATAATTGCTATAATCATTCAATTTATGTATTTTATATAAACTAGTATCTATCTAATGTTGTTTTAGTAAAGTTAAGACATAGTGTGGTAATAAAGAGAATTAGCCGAGAACAAATGTAGGGTTTTTCCAGCTAACCCGTTGGTTCAAACTTTTACCGTTATAGCTTTACTGTGCACTACCCGTCACAATAGATTAGTCAACCTGATGCGCTTAATTTCGAAACAATAACTGTGTAAGTTTGGTTGTACCTGGTTTTAGCCGGGAAAAACCCAAATATTCTTAATTCCGGAGTAAGTCTATTCCCTCGTTACCACATGCATTCCTCTCCACAATATTTAGGCATTTAGTCGCATTAACTTGTGTGTCTGATACAATTGTCCCTTTACAATTTTTATGACATTTTATTTATCTTGATTTTCAGGTTGTACACCAGCAGTTCAAACAGTTTCAAGAATGGCAGTATCTTGGAATATTCCCCATATAACTTATGTTGGTACTGACGAATCATTGGACAATAAGAAAGAGTTTTCCACTTTATCCAGGCTATCTTTTACATTAAATAATTTTGCTATGTTTTACATCGAAGTCTTCAATGAGTTTGGATGGTCATATATTGCTAATATATATGATACCACACAGTTTATTACCAACCTTGTGGGAACAAGCTTTCAGGTAAAATGATAAATAGAAAAAGATTTTTGTTTCGTTTAAAAATAAAGCATCATGAATAAAATCTGAAAAAAAAAATAACTGTCTTATTTAATTAACACGATCAAGATATCTTAATTTATGGTTTTGGTTGGGTTTTTGTGTCGAGCTAACACAGTAAATGTAAATGTCGACTGTCTAGCTTTACCCCTGGAGGAAGACCTCGGGTGCCCCTCCGTGTATTATTTTAGTCACACATTGGCTCCCGAGTAGAACACCACCAACGTTCCGTAGGCAAGCTGGATAACTTTGTCATATGAAACACGCAAAGTCCCCGTCGAAATTCGAACCCATGCGGTGAGGGGCAAGTGGCTTATTTCATGTTACCTTTGTGTTTTAGATTTATGTTGATGATGAAATTAATGTTATAATGTTTATTTTAGTTTATGGTTTCATGTTTTGCCTGAGGGATTGTCTTCTATTTCAAAGAAACATATGTCATTTATCTATACGCAGTGAGATGAGTTAAATTATTAAAGACAGAAAAAAATATCAATAATTTGAGAAATGTAATAATATTTACAACCTATGTTAATGCTTGACATGTTTAATGGCCCCTCATAACAAAATTTCATATATTTGACTTAATTTTTCTACCTTGTTACCAACGGAATGAGATCTAATTTTGCTTATTTTGAAATTTAATAACGATTATATGTGGACAGAACGCACTTTTTTCTAACTTATGAGTGTTTATCAAAATGCGCTTACCATATATATCTTACACTGCTTTTAATATTAATAATTACGCGAGATCCTGGTATTATGTACTGAAATATATTTTCCGAATGTCGTCATATCATAATATATTTTTAGTCGCGATAATTATATGTAGTTTGAGTAATATACCCGTACATGTAACTAAAATGACGTTTTAAACATTAATGGTCGAAAAGTTAAAACACGAAATTAATCATGTCCGCGTTTTGAATTTCAACATTGGGCACTGTATGTAAAAGAAAACAAATTAAATTTGCACTCTAGACGCGTTAATTATGCAATTTTCAATGTTTTTCCCTACACCCTTATTCTTCTGTAAGATTTTTAAAAAAACTTTCTTCATTAGTTGTCTTGTAGGTTTCTATGGTTTTCAGTAATTTATGGTGGCATCCACTTCGTGGTCTTCCCGCCTGGCCTGTCCTCTTTGATGTCCTGCTGGGCTCCTTTCCTGTCGTCCTGTGCTAGGTGGACGCTTTCATTGAATGCCGCCCTTCCTTGTCGATCTTTCTTTTGCATATATTACTTAATCAAAAGTTTATATATTGCTTTTAGTTCTAGAAAATATATACCGATATATGTCTATGTCTTACTTATTCATTATATTACTATTGACATTATTATAACAGCGCAGTTTTACATCCGAAGCTCCTCATTTGTCATCATTTCCTTTGCCCTTTAATGCTGCGTCGAAAGATTTGAAGGCGGAGCTATGGAGGGTCATAAGAAAGGCAATCTCCAAAGCAAGAGGTTCGTACTGTTAAATCAACTTCTTCTTTTGTATACATAAACATACATCATTTATTTTATTTTATTGCAAATGTATTGCTTACATTGATAGCAGTCTACGAAAGAGATAAAATATTGGGAATTCCATAGCATATTATATTGTTTTGTAATTATATTGCTTACATTGATAGTAGTTTACGAAAGATATAAAATATTGGGAATGAAATAGCATATTATATTGTTTTGTAATTATATTGCTTACATTGAAAGTAGTTTACGAAAGATATAACGTATTTGGAATTTCATAACATATGATATTGTATACATGTTTACTATTACTACACAAATACTTAGATTGCTGTCATGTAATGGCCTGATGTGAATAAAAATGTTTGACATTTACTGACATAGTAAAATGATGATTTTACTATGTCAGTACAAAAGTAATTTTTCATAAAATGTGTGAAACATTTTCAAAGGAACAAGATAGAAACGAAAATGCAAAGTATTACAATATGAAAAGTAATTTTTCATAAAATGTGTGAAACATTTTCAAAACGAAAATGCAAAGTATTACAATATGAACTGGTTTTAATGTAATAAAGTAGTTCTTTTACAAACACTGCAAACCAACTGGATGAACAATTAGCGAGAGATTCTTGGTGTAATATTATTATTTTCCGGCCCAAAGTTAAAAAAGCTACTCTTCATCATTTAGCAGAAAGACATAATGCTGTCAAATCATTATTTATCAATCCTGCATTGTAAAAAAGAATTTGAAAAATGGGGTGATCCATCGGAAACAATGAAAACAATAATTTGACATGAAAACAAGTTTAATTGAAAACTGTACCACATGTAAACAATACTTAGTCGCATGAAGTAACATCAATACATGTAATAATATCATTAAATATACGTTATATTATCATATAATTCCTTACAGTGTTCATAGTGTCGTGTCACGGAGATGTATTCCGGCAAATGGTTCTTTTAGCCAGGAGTTCTGACCTCGTCGATGGAGAGTATACTTTCATATTTTATTTTGAACTAAAAGGTGCACCGCCTGTCGGCAAATATACATGGCGTCGAGATGACGATTTAGACCAGGTAACATAATTATATGATCATACGAGTATATTTCCCGAAAATTATATAATGATTTTTCAAATATATATATGTTTTTTATAAATTTATATAAGTTTTTATTGAGAAATAACATGTCTTGTCGTAAACAAATATTATACATGTATATAAAATATTTGAGCAACATACAAATTGCTTCCGATCTTGAATAGTGAGCATACAATATAACATTGTTAAAGAGCGATAACTTGTTGAAATACGGCTTAGATCACCTCTATCAGTATCTCTTTACAGTCGACATGACATAACAAAAATGTGGCTGATCGCTTTTAATAATAATAATGATATAACTTACAATAAAATACAATAATCAAAGATTTAATTGCAATGTTATTGAAACGGTTATACATGACACCTGGCAATATGTAGTCATTGACTTGAGTAAATTTAAGGAGGCCCGCAACGCATATGATGCAGTTATGGTCATTCGACCACGAAGGCCGTCGTCACAAGCGTTTCTTGAGTTTGAACAAGACGTGAAAGACAGAGCATTCACAGAGTATAACTACACCTGGAAAGATGAACACGAGGTGTGTAATTACAGGTTAATATTTTAATAATGTTAGTACGATCGGTCATATACATTAAGTGAATATAAAACATTATCGTATAGTTGATTTTGCCATTACTGCCAATTAATATAATTCGTGAATAATCTTTTAACAAGTAAGCTATTCAAACTATATTTTCATTATTTTGATAAAATAAGTTGGTGAGTATGCCTTTTAAGTTAGCATTGTATGTCTGGCAAATTTGATTAATATCGGTATTATTGCTAATAAGCATATAATGATTAGAAAATAACCATAACAAGCATATATAAATAGTAATATCACTATAAGTTGCATATTTGAATATTATTTTCATGTTTAATGTTGAATTCTGCTTAAACCGGTGCTATAGGGCGTGGACGGAAGCTTGCACTTACCCATACTATTAATGAACAGGCTCAATCAAACCGAGTCTGCAACATTACCAGTTTTGACGTTTTGGACGTTCTTTAGGGATCCCATATCTCTCAATATCATATCATTTTAGATAAGCATACTTAATAAATAGTCAATAGATTATTATCAGTGACTGTTAATTAATATTAATATCATTATAGATATACATACTTCATAACACTGCTGATAAGCGTATTTGAATATTCATATTCGAATTTTCATGTCAAGCATATCTGAATATATCAATATTATTATAACAGGTCAGCATATTTAATATTGGACACTACGATTCGTTTATGCTCTATGCAAAAGCATTAAATGAAACGATATCTGCCGGAGACGATCCGAGGGATGGAGGGAAAGTCGTTAAAAGGATGTGGAACAGAACGTTTTCCGGTAATATTTGATCAGCAGATCAGATGTTTAATCAGAAACAATTGCATGACAACATGCTTGCCTGTTAATTAAAATTCTGTTTTAACAACATATAACTTGGTAAAAGCCTTTTTGATGTCTCAACTGCTTAGGGCATGTTTTGTAATTGGGACATAGAATTGTTTAATAGATAAACGTTGGAGCACTATTACTGGCTCTTGTATGTTAGATGGATAAAAGTTCTAAATATCGAATTCGAAATAATGCATTGCAATAAAATTAATCGTCAACCATTTCAACATTTTATAGCTAGTTTCTATTTAAATAATTGCAGGATTTAATAGATTTTATAAATATTCCTTATGAATTTTCTATAAAACGCTATGTTCTTTGTGATCTGAAAATATCAGATGTTGCACTTTAAGAATCAAGCTCTTAAAGTGGTTTGTCGTATATCAATTGAAATGTTTAAGTGGTTGATGCTTAACAATATTGAATTATTGTATTTCATGTATAAAATCGCGTGCATATTCCATTTATTTCATTGTGGTAAACTGCAATGTCACATTAATTTTGATATGCTAAGATATTATTAACAATTTGATATATTCAAAACAAATAAACGCAACCTGAAATAGAAACATAGTTTCACATATGAAAATGATGAGGCAATGTATTGTCATCGAATTGTTAAATCAGTTAAATATAGGACTTCAAAATGCTTTTGTAAAAAGTAAGGTATAATGAGTAGCACAAATGGTTTGTGAAGGGTCCTGTTTGATCACATACAAGTCTTTTTTACAGGATTGCAAATAACAATATTATTGACACATAGGCAAAAGACCCGTCATTACCTCATTATATGCTTGACATTCATGTGATATTTGAAAGATTGTAGCAATATCTAATAAGATACGATTCAGAGTATTAGTGTGCATCAAATCATCTTACCTTAAAAACGTTGATTTACAATAAGCTTAAAAAATCTAACTGCAAAAATATATTTTATTCCAAGCAATAACAAAAATAAGAACATGCCCATGAAGGAAAGCACTTTCTCATCTTAATGTGCATTTTTAAGAAGAATTATTTAAAATGTAACCAAGAATTGTTACTTATAATAATTATTGATATCTTCTCCCGGGACAAATGTAAAAAAGCGGCTCACTAGCATTGCATTAATATGCAAAATGTGTTTTACAAAATAAAATATAAAAAGATTGTTGTCTTCAAAGGCATTGGTGGTCCAGTATTTATGAATGAAAATGGCGACAGGGATACAGATTTCACCTTACTAGACCTTGACCCAATTTCAGGAGAATTCAATGTGAGTGATTTGCATAATTTATTGAAATGTTTGATTGATTAGTAAATGTTAAAACATATTTCTCAGCGCTCTTTTGTGATAATACTTGATATCATCAATAGTAAAACATAGGATAAGACCTTCGAACATACATAATTATTAAAAGAGTCCATTGCAAAAGGTTCGTTATAAATGCTTAAACTTAACAGAACCACCTAAAGTTCTGGAATTAAGTAGTTAAAGATATAGTATGCTCATACTTTAGTAAAATATTTTTATTGCAGAAATTTATTGAAATCTATTAAATTCTTACTGAATATGTCTTATTTGAATAAAAGAACATCGCAAATATATGTATGAGAATATGTGTTCCTTATTATTGGTCAGTATAGCTTGTCGTCCTTTCTTTAAAAAAACCTGCCAGTTATTTTTTAATGACATTCGTATATTTATAGTGTGTTCTCTTACACTTTGTTGGATTTAAAGTATTAAATACATACTTTTATTTTTATATATTTACTAAAAGACCGTGTAACAATTATCATTTATTTTGAATATCAAATTTGAGCATAGTATATTTTTAAGTAATGTCAATTTCTAAGAAACGGCATCATACAGTTATAAATCTTATGTAAGAATTGTGAATACAATTTTTATGTCTTCCCTTTTTAAAAACAGTTGCAAATCTTATATGAGAATTATGAATACAATTTTTTATGTCTTCCCTTTTTAAAAACTTTTTTTTGTATATATACAAGTTATTCATAGGTCATTTTAGATTTCTGTTGCTTTTTTACACTATGGTAATTAGTATAATTACAATGGATTTAGTATTTTGTATGGAATCTGGAACCAAAGTGATCTCTCGGAAGCATTAATCACAACAAAATTACATAAGAATTGCAGACTCGGTTTGATTGAGTCTGTACATGAGGGATAATGAATAGGTGCAACATCCCTCACGCCCCCTAGCACCGGCTTGAGCGGTACTCAATTCTCAACACTTAATAGTGCTGGCATCAATGATCCCGAAGGACCAGAAAAATATAACAACACTGAAGTGAAGTACGGGGCAACGTTTTACAGCTGCCACACAGCACTTGACATCTGCTGTTGTGAAGTATAAAAATCTGGAACCAAAGTGATCTCTCGGAAGCATTAATCACAACAAAATTACATAAGAATTGCAGACTCGATTTGATTGAGTCTGTACATGAGGGATAATGAATAGGTGCAACATCCCTCACGCTCCCTAGCACCGGTTTGAGCGGTACTCAATTCTCAACACTTAATAGTGCTGGCATCAATGATCCCGAAGGACCAGAAAAATATAACAACACTGAAGTGAAGTACGGGGCAACGTTTTACAGCTGCCACACAGCACTTGACATCTGCTGTTGTGAAGTATTAAAATCTGGAACCAAAGTGATCTCTCGGAAGCATTAATCACAACAAAATTACATAAATTGCAGACTCGGTTTGATTGAGTCTGTACATGAGGGATAATGAATAGGTGCAACATCCCTCACGCCCCCTAGCACCGGCTTGAGCGGTACTCAATTCTCAACACTTAGTAGTGCTGGCATCAATGTTCCCGAAGGACCAGAAAAATATAACAACACTGATGTAAAGTACGGGGCAACTTTTTACAGCTGCAACACAGCACTTGACACCTGCTGTTGTGAAGTATAAAAATCTGGAACCAAAGTGATCCCTCGGAAGCATTAATCACAACAAAATAACATAAGAATTGCAGACTCGGTTTGATTGAGTCTGTACATGAGGGATAATGAATAGGTGCAACATCCCTCACGACCCCTAGAACCGGCTTGTGCGGTACTCAATTCTCAACACTTAATAGTGCTAGCATCAATGATCCCGAAGGACCAGAAAAATAAACAACACTGAAGTGAAGTACGGGGCAACTTTTTACAGCTGCCACACAGCAATTGACACCTGCTGTTGTGAAGTATAAAAATCTGGAACCAAAATGATATAAGTGATATAAAATAGAGAAAAACAGAATCCCTAAAGAAAGCCCAACACGGCAAAATTGGAAATGTTGCAGGCTCGGTTTGATTGAGCCTGTTCATGGATAGTCAAAATAGTACAAGCTCAAATTTTGTTACCTTTATGGCACATTCATGCATGTTCAGCGCTGCTTTCTGCAGTTGATTATAATCTAGCATGCTCTAAATCCATTATTAAGACTTTATTAATACATGTTTGTCATTTATAAAGAATTATAAATATATTGATTTGTGAGTACATTTAAAAAGCTATTCGATGTGCGTGCTTGATGAAAATAATGTTATTTTAATCATTTAAATTTACAAGCATGTTTTATCTGTGATGGTATTGTAATATTATTATTTCAATATTGTAAGAAATAAAGAAATAAAGATTTGTATTGTCGCATTTATAACGCATGAATTGAAAAACTATCTAGCTTTGTGCTTGGAAAGATTTTAAGACATTTTCTATTTGATCATTTAACTATTTACCAGGTAGTCGCACAATATTTGGGTTGGACACATAAGTTCGAATTTATTCCGGGAGTGTCAATACACTGGCCTGGTTCAGGAGGTCCGCCTCCAAACGTTCCAGTATGTGGGTTTAATGGAGAGCTCTGTGTCACATATAGTAAGATCTTTGTTTTTGCAATTAATTTTCTCAATTTTGCATTAAACGGTTCATTTTTGCCTTATATATTTTTATACATTTTGTTGATTTTTTTTTGCTTAAAACTTTTACCGACGAATGTGGTACAAAAACATTTAATTAACAGATACATTTTTCATTTACTTTTTTTTTCGTTTTGTCTTTGTTTTTATGTCTACCAACATATCTTAAACGAGTAAAATATGTAAGTACAAATGGTCATTTGATGTTACAATGCAAATCTAAAATGCGTATTAGACACACAAAATACATTTATGAAATAATTTTCTTAAAATCGTTTTTTAACGTTAAATACATGTAAAAATTCCTTAGACTATGAATGCATTCATTGTGTCTATTTTCTACAGATCTGCCACAATCTGCGATAGTCGCTATTAGCCTTAGCTCTGTCATTGTTCTTGTTATTGTGGTTGGATTGTTCGTATACAGGTTAGCATTCTTTAAATCAATCATACAAGTAATAAGCTATTTTCTATACAATAAAGATTAACAAGCATTTGAATATCCTTGAATGTTATCTTTTTTGTTATAAACCACGATATTCTGATTATTTTGAACAGATATAATATGAAACTTCCAAGATTTTAGAAAATTTGGTCATTTTGGTCACCTTTTCAAATTAATGTCGCCTCTGACTATGAAAAAAACCCCGATATATACACTGTAGTATAATTGTAATCATTATAATGCATGCAAAAATTGTATTGTTCTACGTAAAACAGTGGGATACTTAAAATTTTGTTTAATTAAGACGGTTGAAAGCAGAAGCAGAAATCCATAGTCAATGGTGGCGTATCAATGCAGCCGATATTGTCATGCAAACCAACTCGTCATTTTACTCAAACCGCAGTAAAGTACGTAATCGTTGCTCGTATTCTTTAAACTGATTTTTTGTACACAATGCTTGAATTTTATTAAATTTATGTTGAACGTTAAGAGCGCGTAAAAGTTGTTTACCCTAAGTTGACGTAATGTATGTTAGATTTTTTTCTCTAAGTTTGTGTTATGTACATAATGTTTTAATATCTCTAAATTCACGTTTATTCTTTTGGGGTTAAAGTATATAAGAGTTTATTTCCCAAACTTTAAAATCGTCAAAGTAATTTTCCTAAATTACCGGAAAATATGTAGGGGTGAGCTTTACACAAACATATCGTAGGATTCTATTTATTATCTTACATCAATATTCATCTTATTAACAAGAAATAACACAAAAATTAATTAAAACAAATAATCATAATGAAACATCTTTTTAAGAATCTTAACCTTTCGCTAAATTACACTCCGTTATTTTGTATATGTTTTTATATATACTTTATATATTAATATGTTTCCATAATAGATCGATGGTGAAGACAGATCATCACTGTCACTTGCCACATATGCTGTTTGCTTCCAGACAGTTGGTGTTTATCGAGTGAGTTTGTTTCTGCATCTTTTGTAAAACATACCATGAAACTTTACATTGTAAATAGTGCAAACACGCGTAATCATTATCCAGTTAATAGCAAATAATTTCCGGGATCACGGTTAATAAAGTCCATATTGTACCATGTTGCAATAAATGTATGTCTATTTTTGTCATGTGACCTTCCTGGAAACACTCGTATCATGCACTGAGGGGAAGCGTAATTTTATTATATAGGGCTATAACAATACGTTCAAAATCGTGCATTACGATACATTATTATTATTATTTTACATCAGTATTGCAACATATTGCGATACGTATTGCCATTAATGTTGGGCATGATAAGGCACATAGGCTTGTCATAGTTTATATGGTGGACACGACTAGTTTATGACTTATTTGCTTTGTCAAGGAGTACAAAACTCTAATAGCAATAGTCTTGTAAATATGACTAACAGTGATGCCGATCCAAGTGAATTAAGTTTATATTGCAACATTTTTGATCACCGCATCAAATACAAAATGTATAGAATATCATTATATATTTGTAATTATAAATTATATAATGATGTATAATCATATAAGGTTTGCCTACCTCTGTTTGTATAAAAGTCTTAAATTACCAGTATATCAAGCATAAATACTACTTTAAATCTTTTAAGAATTGGAAAATAAGCTTGAAGACATGAAAACAACGATTTACGTGTAATATATACACATACTAATGTTTGTTATTTAAAAACTAGTTATGGGTTATCATGCTATGTTCTTTTCAGGGTACCCAGGTACATATTCAAAAGCCAAAGATAACGTCTTTACCAATCGATAGGAAACTACTTCTGGAGCTTAAGCAGGTACGACCTTTTACTAATAGCTTTAGTTAATCTACAAAATACTTGTACATTTTTTAATAACACCAATAGTATAATAAAAACAGACATATTCATTATGATACAACATTGAAAAGGTAACTCAATATTTACCTTCATCTAAACAATTTATTATGGAGCTAAGTTAAATGCAAACCTATATGCCTCTTTTTGAATTCATTTCTGTTCTTTATCCAATTAGCTTACGGAACGTCGGTGGTTCTACTCAGGTGCACGTCCGTGCCTGGAATAATGCACGGAAGGGCACCTGAGGTCTTCCTCCACCAGGAAAGCTGGAATTTCGCGATATGACCTATACTGTGTCGATGTGACGTAAAGCCCAATCGAACAAACAAACAAACACATTTCTGTTCTTCACGGTTAAGTTTAATCTTAATTTACTTTTCGATTTAAGGTTTTTAGCAACAAAATAACTATTTCACAAAGTATTCATAACTTATTGCATTCATTTGCATATGAATGCCAAATAACTTTATAACATTTTAAATACACAATAAAACCCCTACATATTGCGTGTGTCATTTAGTCGTTTTTGTTGCTGGAAAGTGATTGGAAAATAGCGGAAGATATATTTAATCTTTTTTTTACTTACAGATGCATAATGTAACAAGTCCGAACCTAACCCGCCTGATTGGGATTTGCCCTGAGGCTAACAATGTTTGTATCTTGACCGAGCATTGCTCTAGAGGAAGCTTGCAGGTTGTTGCTCACACATTTGAAAAAGTTTTACGTGAAAAATACCTTCAGTATTTAACAGCTTTTCTATGGTGTTCTCGATTCAATGTAACCACATGTAATATTTTGTTAGATCCTTAAATGTTCTGCAACAAATGGCCTTTTTTATATTCAAAAGTGCCTTTGCTTTACTGATTTCAGCTTGTTGTGGTATGCATTTTTTAAAAAATAAATGTTACATTTGTGCATCATTTGTCCTTACATTACAATATTTACTAGATTAACAAGTTTTCTAGAATGGGTTTGTTGTGAAAGTTATAAAATGATGAGATGAATAAAATTGAAAAGCAGCAAATGTAGTTTCGTCACGATTATTTAAAAGGTTTTTTTGTAAACTTTAACTTTAAGCAATAATGATAACATGATAACGCGAATTGGCAATAAAATGAATCAAATCGTGCTTACCCAATGGTATTAACAATAATCATATAAAACAACTAGATAATTACTGACAGATATTTCTATTTGTGGAAATGATTTTTTAAAACTTTCTTTGTAGGATATTCTTCATAATGACTCAATTCAACTGGATTGGGATTTTCGTATTTCCCTGATCAATGACATTGTTGAGGTAAAATTGATTGATATTTAATGTTGTTTTTGCATTTTTGTTGGAAGAGACAATGGATGAGCAAAATGTTTATCTACATAAACAGTAACTCTATGATTTTATAACATACTTTTACCAGAAATTATTTTTCAGTGAATACTGTTTGTATCACATGCAAACGTACGACTGGTTGAAACAAATCTTTCTACTTCTACTTTATGTGTGTTTAATGTTTAATTTTCTGCTTAATTAACCGTATTGTTTTCATAAATCCATTCTAATGTACAGTTTTGTTTGTATGCTTTACATATAAAGCAGCATGCCTCCAGATTCATGACAACTTTCAATTACATTTTTACTTTAATCTTGAAACTATTTGCTTTTCTTAAACTCTTAGTTAATTTTTCTCAAGCTTGATTTTCTTACACTTATTTGGCTTATTTGGAGGTATGCAGCTTTAAAGATTTGATTAAGTTTGAATTTCATGAACTATTTTGGTTCATCTAGAGGCATTCAGCTTTTAAGATTTGTTTTGTGTTTGATATTTCAGGGAATGTATTATCTTCATACTAGCCCGATCCAAACACACGGGAGACTAACAAGCTCAAGATGTGTGATAGATAGTAGATTTGTCCTTAAAATCACCGGTTTTGGATTAGATACCATAAACAGCTTAACAAATAAACAACAAACTACAGAATCAGCATACAGTATTTTATTTAAATATTTGTACTTATCTGTACTGTAGAAAAAATGTAGTTTTGTTGATAACTAAGCATAAAAATGTTATCAAAAAGGTATAGAAAATGATGGTCTATTGAAAAATGGTTCTTTCTCTGTATCTTTACATAAAAACAAATTTTATATTTATTTTTTACATTCGTGCAAGGATACTATATTTTATAGCTTTAATTAAACTTGAATTATTGGATTCATTATGAAAAACACATAAAAAGTTCAAATCTATATTTTGCTAGATAAATGATTTTTATTAATAAACATCTTACTGAAAGACTTAATTTATATAATATTTTGTCCTATTGACAGTGTCTGGTCTATATATGGGTTTTACGTTTAGTAGGATTGTTTTTATTATCAGTAAAGTTAATTAAAAAGAGGTACTTCTACAATAACGACCACTTCTACAACTAATACTACTTATACTAAAATACTACTACTACTTAAATGATAATAATGTTAAAATTATTTTAAGTAATCATGGGAAAAAATTGTTATTGTTTATTATACATTGTAGCATCAATACCTGAGCTAGTATGGATGGCACCTGAACATTTACGTGTTTATCCACCAAGAAGATCCTCGCAACCTGGTGACGTTTACAGTTTTGCAATAATCTTATTTGAAATGTGTACAAGAAATGAGCCATACGTCAATGAAAATTGGTACACATCAGTAGATGGTATGTTTTCAGATTTTGAAAGTTTATACAAAATGGCATTTCTGTGACAGAAAAGAATACTTGATTTGTTAACAGACATTTTTGCTGTGTTCAGGTTAAAATCTCCTGAACGCTGCTTTTGAGGTCTTTGTTGTTATTTGCTTAAAATATGCTTATGTTTCCATTGACTGTTCAGTATATTCAGTATAATAGCACATGTTTTATACAACAGATACCTTAAAAAGGATAAAAAGTAAAGGCAATTCAGTGACAAGACCAACTATAGACGGAACGGACTCATTTCCAGAAGTTGTAGAACTGGCGAAGAATTGTTGGCTCGAAACTCCTGAAACTAGACCAACGTTCTCATTTATTAGAAGAGTAATCAAATCTGTTAAACTTAAAAGGTATGAAAATGCTTGATGATATTATTTGTTACAGTCTTCAAATAAAACATATGCAGGAAGTAATGTTATTCCTTACAAGAAAATCGCTCAAATGTTTACCACAAGATACCATTAAATAAAAGGTTTGTTAATCTGACAAAGACGTTTATTAATTTAACTACTTTTTAATGTTTTTCCTTTTATGTTCAAACCACACTGGACCTCCATTGAGGCAAGTAAAACCCCACTGGATAATAGAAAAGAAAAGAAACAAATGGGAGCAACACATTGAATGCTTCCACAGCGTTTAATTATTTTGTTTTCATTATATAAACCAATCATCGTCTATCTAAACGTAAATTACTGTTTTATTAAATGTTTTGTATTAATAATGCACCAAATGGGGTATGTTAGTTTGCGAATATTCAAGATTCGCAAACTTATTCCGGAGGCTGTTTATGTCATTTAAAAAGCCACTTTTTAAAGTTAAAAGATTTTGTAATGGATAATTATATAGTTGAAAAAGAAATTGAAATTGTATACTAAAAAGCACTTTAAAAAATACAAATCTGTGTGTAGAAAAATGAACCCTACCGAAAATGTCTTGGATGTTTTGTTACGTCGTATGGAACAGTATGCGAACAACTTGGAAGGTTTGGTTGCAGAAAGGACCCAGGCATTCCTTGAAGAGAAAAAGAAATCTGAAGAATTATTGTATCAAGTTTTACCAAAGTAATTACGTGCTATTTAACTTTCATAACGATGTAAGAATGTAATTTTATGTTTTAAATAGTTTAAAATTGGAACTAAATTCAATAATATATATTCATATGAGCTTTTGTTTGAGCTTTCATCAATTCAACCATGTTACCAAGATATAAGAACTAAAAAATACAAAAAACGTATTAATTCGACACTACGCTATAATTATTTAGGAGAAATTCCATATAATGGAAAACACATATGTATTGCTTTAAGTGTATATGACCCAGAGAAAGCCCGGTTCTTAAAAGTTCCTATACCTTTTGCTTTTCTATCAAGGGTAATAAAATTGTTCTTACTTGCATTCTGTTGTTTTTACAATTGTATTACGCTATTCATACAACGAAGGACTTTAAGGGTACATACAAGGAACAATAGTGTATATGAATCTTTTAAGATACGTAAATAATTACCTTAGCCACACAAAACAATCTTTGTCATTTTTTTCTTCTACAGAAGTGTTGCAGACCAGCTACGAGTAGGGAATGCTGTCAGCCCCGAGTCGTTTGATTCCGTCACAATTTACTTCTCTGACATTGTAGGTTTTACGACGATATCAGCAAAAAGCACGCCATTCCAGGTTGAACACTAATGTTTCTCATCAGATTTGTTCTTTTCACCAAATGCTGTAGTGTCATAAACGTTTGCATTCCGTTTTCATTTCTGGTTACATCAAATTGGATATATAATTGTCTTTTGTTACAAGTCTTTTCCATTAGCGGCTTCATTTAATATTGTTCAAGTCTTCAATAAAATGTTATATTCAGCCTGCACACAAAAATGATGATAAATATATTACATTAACAGTAATTGCTTTAGCCAAACATCATTACTAATAATTATTCATATGTCATATTATTATTATTTCTTATCTCATTAAACATACAAATACAATCTATTTTCAGGTGGTTGACTTTTTAAATGACCTGTATACTTGTTTTGACTCAATCATAGACAACTACGACGTTTATAAGGTACACATTTTTTTATTTGAATAAACACGAACAATAAGGTTTTTCTGCATCAAAAAAGTCCTGTTATTGCCATTTATTTTGCATTGAAACAGGTATGAGTGAAAAACTGCATTTAATTATATTACCATTTGTAGTGTATGTAAGTTTTGAGGAATATTTACATAACCTACCGTACATGTATCTTGGAATGAACTTTTGAACACACAAATGATATATTATTATCAGATTAAAGTGGCTTCAGTGTGGTTATTGACATGATGAGACTGGCATTTCCCCCAACATTTGTGTACTGTTTGATGTAGGTGTAGACTAATAACCTATGTCGAATTTTCAGATCATTCGCTCATCCTTTTATTTCTAGAATAACCGTTTATAATGTGAAAAGGGTCGACAAATGAAAAGCGTTGCAACTATTTGATTTTAGAATCGCACACAAAATCGACATTTAATTTAATTATTGCAATAATTCTTTATTTTCCTTTGCATATGTTCAAATGTTTCCGTTTTTAGCGTTTCACTTGATCTATGTAAGAATTTCAAATTGAAGATTTAAGGCTTTTTTGACCTCAGTGGAGCTCCTTAAAATATATGTGTTTTACTGTTTTAGTTACGTCAGTAATATACTAAGTATTTGCCTGAGCGTTCCACTTCGATTAACAATTTAAAATCGTTTCCATTTTATATATATCTTTATCTATGGCAGTTCATACTCAAGAAGTCATCTTAATATCCTAAGGGATCGGAAAGTCAACAGGTTAAGCGCCTGACTTGCCAAACGCATCACTCTTAGTACATATATTATTTTTTCCTTGGTATAAATTCATATTTATCACACTTCAATGATACTTGAATTTAGACAATAAAATCATCTTGCAGGTTGAAACAATTGGAGATGCATATATGGTAGTATCCGGACTACCTGAGAGGAACGGAAACGAACACGTGCGCCAAATAGCTCGAATGGCTCTGAATATATTACACAGCGTGCGCCAGTTCACAATACAGCATCAACCCGAGACGCCTCTAAAAGCTCGCATAGGTTTACATTCAGGTTATAAAACATTCATTAATAGATACTTTAAAAAATATCAAAATATAATCTTAGGCAATCATGCCTTAATATATATGGAAACTTATATTGTGAACGTTTTTCTGTCGATATTAATATTACAATGGTTACAAATTTATACAAAATAAGACATGCATACTGTAGCACCTTCCGTTAGATTGAAACATTTTAGGCTGGATGTTTTGATAGTAAATAAAATACAGAATTTTATATAGTTAATAGTTAAGTTAAAACTTTTTAAGCAATACAAGCACACATTAGCACATTAGCGCACACACGCACATGTACACATACCCATTATTTGATTTTATTAAATACCTTTTTATTTCTTTTTGTTATTTATGAAAATCACAGAAAATGATTTTACAAAACTCAATTGATTTCTTCCCCATTTCCAGAATTTTAACATTTCTGGTGAACAGGTATTCATTTTTCAACTAGACATTTTTTGTTGTTATTTACCTATAACAGGTCCTGTTTGTGCGGGTGTTGTTGGTAGGAAAATGCCGCGTTATTGCTTGTTTGGTGATACAGTAAACACTGCAAGTAGAATGGAATCAAATGGAGAAGGTGACTTTATTTATTATCCCAACATATTTAAAACATCACGTCCCAATTTGGTTAAATGAGAAAAGGTTTTAGGTGAACGGTACATTCTAGTCAAGATCGGTTTTTATATATGTAAATCCCTTATAACTGACCTCTTTATTCACGGAAGAAAGTTGCAAATCTTCTGTAAAATACGTGTTTTTTTAATAACGCAGTTCCGATATAAATAGAAACAATAAGTCACTCAACATGTGCACGCACGGGATCCGGGATCGTGTTTTAAAGCTAGTCAATATATAGCCTTAATTATATTTCAAGATTAAATTATATTTCAAGTCTATAGAGCTCTATCTATTTGCTGGTCGTTATATACACGATGTTCTTGATTAATCAAACGTCTTTAAATAGTGCGACAAGTCACGAAAAATAGTACACTTGTTTTCCATAATAACGTTTGATATCATCCCGGATACAGTGTTATCCGTATTACGGGTCCCGTAATTGTCCTCCTCCATCATGTTGTATTAGAAATAAAATGGACTTAATTCCGTAGTATCTTAAAAAGAAGGTATATCTCGATGGTTGGAAAGCGGACTTTCTGTTTTCGAAGCAGACAAGTCAAAATATATATATTCAAGCAACAGTTCGATCTCTTTCGACAACTTTAAGCTTTTGAAAGCAGTTTTTGCATTATTAGTACAACGGTAGATTTTGTGTTATCTTCTGGAGGCATGTTGCTTTAAAATGTTTTTTGTACCATATGACAAGCACGTAAACAGTTTTGATTGGGTAAAGAATGTCAATCTCTCTATAATCAATCATTTCATATAAGTGTTGAAAATTATTATTATCATAAAACGATATCTAGAGTTAACAATCAACAGAACGGAAAGAAAATCAAATACAAATTAAGAATTAGAAAGAACAAAGGTTTGAAAGAAATAATGAAAAAGTCCCCATCCCAAAATAAATAAATAAGTAAATAGATAAATAAAAATAAATAAATAAATAAATAAAAATAAACAACATCAATAGATTAAAGTTTGAGCTATATAATATTATTTTCTATGTTATTTAAGAAAAATTAAAAATAGTCTTTTATAGAAAATCATGTCAAACGTAAGCTATTTTCTTCATATCTACTTATATCTATTTTTAGCAATGAAAATTCATATCAGCGAACAGACAAAGCAGTTGTTAGAGGAAGATGTCAACTTTAACATTGAAGATAGGGGTACAATTGATATCAAGGTTTGTAGATAAAATTGTATTGATAAGTTTCAATTAAAGCAAGCGTTTTATCAGTTAGCCTGGTGACGTCCCCTTGTGGCTTATGAGTTGCCTTTGAGGGTTGAGGCATCCGAAATGCAGCCACAGTTTATCCATGCGTGATCGTAAAAGGCGACTTAATAGGTCTGAATTACTGGAGTCTGTGCATCTCCTAGCTCCTGCAGGCGAGGTATTTTTGACCTTTAGTGTTGCTTTAAGTTTGTAACATCCGACGTTAGCAAAAATCATCGTTTCTGTTTTGGTGTCATATGGACCTAAACAAACAGTCTGGTGGCGGCAAGATATACTGAATATATTCATGCTACCAGTGCAGACCAAGATTCGTCGGCAAGGTTCGCACGGTTTGCTTTTAAGTCAGTACATATTTTGAAAATTCTACCTATAAATAGAATATTCAATGAATTTACAATGAATTAGAACGCAAGAATGTTTTGTTTATGAAGAGTTAAGGAAGGAGAAATATATTTAATACATTTATCGGAGTAGGGGTCAAAGGGAAAAGTTTTGGTGCCTGTCCCCCGACCAAGGTCTAGTCATATCTTGAACAACCTCTTTGATTGGTTCACAACCAAATATAATTGAATTTATTTAAGTAAAGGAAATAGAATTTAGGTACTGTATAATTGATTATTGTTTTTTTTTGTTAGGGAAAAGGACCAACGCACACATTTTGGCTGATTGATGAGTTATCGAACAATTCTGGTGGCTCTCTAACGTAGAAAAGAAGGCAACGAAATGTATTATAAGAAAATTTATAAAAGCATTCTTTAACATATGATGACAAGGAATTCATAGATACAATGATTTGAATAGTGAATGTGTTCATAATATTGTTGAATAGTATAAAGATAGCGCTAAAGACAGTCACATGTTGGAGTTACAGTCACACTTTGCTCTGGTGTATTTTTTAAGACTCTAATAATTACTTTTTTATGTATTTTCATATCAAAGTGTTAGATTCCTCATTATTCTAACTATTCTGCGACTATAAGCAAGGTTACAGAGAGTAATTAAACATTAAATGCGTTTATTAGTTGGCAAAACTGTCAGAATGAATAAATATAACGAAGAAAACATAAAAACATACATATATTATGTGCTGTGGATACAAAATGGATTCAAAAAGCATGTACTGCCTATTATCATGGGTAACCTGTCAATATTATGTTGTTTTTGTCATTTTTCATTAAGCAAAACGGTACTCTTCAAGAAGAAGACGTTTATAAGACTTAGTCTTTCGTTCTTATCCTATTCCTGAATATAAAATGTTTTGGTTTATATTGTATACGTATATATCTAAATGTATATATTTGGGAAATAAATATGTTTTAACTAAAACTGTACCCTTGACTTAGATGTTTTGTTGTATTATAATATAGCATGTCAAGAGCAACAATTTGAGTTACCATGAAAATGACTATTACAATAAATAAAAGTAATGTAAAATATCAAATATTTATTGACAAAGATAAAAGAAGTAAAATAATATATGGTCCTAAATTATGAAAAAGAAATCATAACTAAATAGATATGTTCTCAATTTCTATACCATATACATATGTACAAATTCGACTCCTCTCGCAATGTTCAGGTGAAACTCTCGTATCGAGTTTCCCATAGACTTAGATAGTGTAGTCCCATAGACATAGTGAAATGGCTCCTTATCCTAACTTAAAAGTGAGCTAAAGAGGGGAATTTTCTAGGATAATGAAATGTCTAACACATGAAAATGATCATGTTATATAAGGGTAGCCAACCAATATTTTTGCAAAATGACTTCGAAGAGATTATCCCCCCCCTCATTTTTATTTAATTTTTTTATAGATCACAGGACTGACATACACTTTTATAAATGCATATATCCAAAAAATAGATAAATACAGAATCCCTACAGAAAGCCCAACACGGCAAAATTGAAAATGTTGCAGGCTCGGTTTGATTGAGCCTGTTCATGGACGGTACTGGAAAGTGCAAGTTACCGTCCACGCCCCCTAGCACCGGCTTAAGCACAATTCAACATTTAAGTCGCACTTTATTATAGATATGAAAAATGTAATAATTGTATTTTCTTATAAAATTAAAGTATTAGTTTCTAAATTAGTTTTGATATTCAAAAACAACCCCTTTTTACCCAATCACCTCATATCCGAATATCCGACTGAATCTTTCGGTTTTTCCTGCACTTTTTTCAGCCAATCACTGGCCACGTTGCAATACGATAGTCTGACCACCACTTTAAAACTTATAAATTAGTATCATTTAAGCAGTCTTACATTTGTTATAATATAAAAGATTCATATTTACACTACTCTTGCATTATATTAAATGTCTTTATTATAAAAGGTCAAGGTCAATGTACAACTAAGATACAATTGGTAAGCTATCAAATGAGCGAAAATAATCATTATTGTACTGTATTTGGTTTAAATAGGCCACGAATTGTTATGTAGTTCATAAAGATATGCTCATTATTAATTGTTTATTGTTATCACATGTTTGATAAACAAGAATATGACAGTTAAATATGATACATTATCAAACATTTATCATAAATATAGTAGTGTATAAAAAGACACGTCATTTATTTAAATACACCTACCATTGAAATGAGGTGTCAGTAATATGATATATTGAGCTTCTCCCCCACCAAAAAAAAAAAAAAAAAAAAAAAAATTCACCACCCCTATAAAAAATTATTTTTTAACACACTCAAAAAAATATATATGGTACCCATAGCATATCCAAAAATAATAAAAAAACACACTCCCTGAGGGACCCCTCGAAAAAGTGAGAAAAAAAATTGAAAAATTGTAAAATTGCAAAATTGTATATTTTCACCATGATCTGACAGTATTGAATCCCGTATATACCCCCAGATTAGACATTTTTTAAACATCAATACCTGCCACATACCACTCCATTAAAATTCAATGACAAGCCAAGCGTATTGAGTAAGTTTATCATATTCATTGGTGCATATATGAATATTTTAAATGTTGTACATTATAACATGTAAAGTGTATTTGGTTTACATTGATAAAATACAATTAGGTAGTTAAGAAAGTGTTTATCGTCTCCAAGCGAGTATTTATTGCAACTAAGGAGTTGTTTACTTGACTAAAGGTGTAAATATGTGAATCTAAGCAAGTGTTTACTGTATCCAAGTAAGTGTTTTGATCGTTTTACCACATATTGATCGTAGGAGTAATGCAATGATTAATATCTGTAGGGCGGACTGTTAAATGTCTATAAAGCTAAAACTCATGTTCATAGTTGTGTAATAAAATTAACTTTTATATTTCGGTGGTGGGTCATTAATTATAGTAACTTTATTGAATAAAATCAAGCATTTCCTATTTCTTTTAACTCCGTTAAAGCCTGGGCCTTGCCTTCCTCGATAAGTTTTTTCTCTCTGTCTCACTCATAGCTGATTGTTTTGAACGTATGCTATCTTTCAGTTTATTCTATTTATCTAATTCATCTAAAATCAATTTAAATTCATTTTCAGATATCTGTCCATCTGTCAAAGCCTTAGAAATCAAGTCTTTTATACTATTCAACTTACTATCAGCAATAGTTTTAATCTCATCATGCTTCTTTGCTTTTGAATGCAGTCGCCTTCTAATAAACTTGACACCGCTACACCACAAAATGCTGCCACAATTTCTAATGGCAACATAAAGGGTACTACGATTCAAATGCCACCCATAATCACACTCCCAGAAATGAGTTGTATCAACACCATCAGTAATATTAATTCCGCGTTTATATTTCTTGTATAATGATTTACGAGTATCCCTCTCATTAATTAATGTTTTCTCAATCTCCGATATCTTCTGTAATCTATAATTCTGCCCGTCTTCACTAGGCAACTCTGGATATAAATCCGGCGCTGTAGGTTGCTTCATATATATATATATTTTTGAAGATAATATATTTTTCTAACACACAACTAATTGGAAATCCATTGTTGTTTATTTTCTGACCGTTCTCATCACAAACGCTTATACTTAATTCTGAAATATCGCCATGTGCCAATTGTTTGTATTTTGGATTAGTAAAATGCGTATGAACGATATTACCAAATAATAGATCATTTTCCCAAGAATAAGTTAATCTAATGTAACTGCCTTTTTCAATAGTAAATAATTGGCCGGGTTTGAGCAGGGCTGGAATAATTGCAGAACAGAACAGAACAGAACAGAACATAATCTTTATTTGAGAGGCACTCGCACGCACAAACAGAAATGATATATTTGTTACGCACATACATAAACACACACGCGCGCGCGCACACACACACGCACACACACACACACACACACACACACACACACACACACACACACACACACACACACACACACACACACACACACACACACACACACTCACACACACACACACGCACACACACACACACACACACACACACACACACACACACACACACACCTATACATACAGAAGTACTATTTGAAATTTACAGCAATAGGAAAACAGTTAGAACAAAAAATACAGCATAAAAAGATTTTGATATCATGGTGCGAAGTGAAATCATTTTGCCGTGTGAAAATTACTACTACAACTTTTACTATCCATTTCGTTCGAGCCCGAGAATCGTGATTTTCATTCATAGCTAATTTTAAGGCGGGGTTTAAAAAATTACAATTACATTTACGACATGCGCTTATGAAAAGTGAAAAATACTATATATTTGCATGAAAGATATTTAGTATTAGGTTACCAATTATGTAAATAATTTAAAGGAATGACCTAAATGGATTTCCCGATGTAATCGAATTTGATTGGTCATTTATTCACGCGTTCATAAAATCAATGTTTATTTCACTTGACCTGGATGATTACACAAAATAGAGCCGGAAGTGTGCTTAATTTCGTAGTGAATGCTACGTATTTTGCGAGATTTGTCAGCTGTATTCGGTCATTAGTGGCGAGCAGTTCCTTAAATTTAAGGATATTTGGATTGTTGTAAAATCTTCGATTTAAAAGCTTATTTCGTTTTTCCTTAAAAACTGGGCAGACGAGTAAATAATGAAACTCGTCACATAGGTCATTTAATGGGCAGAGAT